ATTGATGACAAATAAAATGTAAAGATTATGAAATTATTAAATGTATAACTATCTAGATATATAATATTAATTATTTAAATATATAAATATCTTAATAAAATCTGAAAATATATGATAACGTTTAAAATTCAAATTGAGTTGATAAAAAAAGTAATTAAAAAGTTAAAAGTTAAATTTAGTTCGAATGAGCAATCAAAAAAAAGAAAAAGATTGTTTTAATTTGACTGTTTTAATTTTTCGTATTTTTCCTTTCTCACAGCTTATTTATTAAAAACTCTGGTTATTTTTGTTCACAAGTAACGATTATATAATATAAAATTACTAAATTATATCATTAGTCTCTCACATTGTATCTAAGGATTGATTTAAAAGTTAATAGTTATCGATAAAATGTAACTAAATTAAGTTAAAAAGTTAAGAGTTTAAAATGTAACTAAGTTAAGTTAAAATTAATTAACTTTTTAACTTTTTGACTTAACTTTTATCTTTTTAACTTAGCATTACCCAACCTTGTCACATATTTTGATGATTGAAAGGATGTTTACAAGGAATTCAAAAGATCCGGGTTTCTAATTTTAGCTGAGACAATATTTTTCGCAAGAAATTAATTTATAGTTGCGATTAGCATTAAACGATTTGACGATCAATTTGATATGAGATCATTATTTTAATTTATGATTGCGTTCTAATCACGTTCAGCGCGCAGTCTTAATAATATTTTCAAAGAATTGCTCAAGGAGTATGTAACAAAAATTCGGTGAAAATATTATTTTTTGCGCATTATAAGTATGTCGTAAAATGTCAAATACTTTTACGTTGATAAAATTCATGTGCGATTTTTCACAGGCAATTAATATTTAAAAATATATTTATTTTTACTACATATATAGGATTGATTTTTAAGCAAAAATGTTTTGTTTTATTAGGTCAGATAATGTATACATCTATAATACGGCATATTGTACTGCTTTATTGTTTCATAACGTTGCAACGCATGCGAATTATTCTTATTACGAAAATGTGAGTACGCCCGATGAATTGCGAAACAAAATGACCTGTCGTGATCAATATCCTTTGAAAACGATAAAGCATTTCCACTAACCATATAATAAAGTTTTAAAAAAGTAGGTTGTTATTTCAAGTTATCCAATTTTTTCAATATCGTCACGTCATATAAAACTAGAGTTACAATATGTAAGAAATTAATAATGAAAAAATAAACCGTAGAATAGAAAGAGTAGAAAGGAAAACAATAAATAATAGTTTTGAGTACAATAAATTTGTGAACGTTTTGATATATTTGCATACGTCTTGATATACATATTACCAAAAATTTGCATAGAAAATAAAATTATTTTTATTATAAGAATTTTTATAAAAGTAATTTCAAGCAACCTTGAATTATATCTTCAGGAAAAACTTTTAATTGATTGTTATTCAAATGCTATCATCGCGTTGAGACCATGAAGTAATTATAAACTTCCTTTTTAATTCGTGCTATAAATATCTATAAATCTATAGTTAGCTGTAGAAGTCAAAGAAGCTTTTATGTCACGAATATTATGAGAAATGAGATATGATAGTTGTTGATATTTGTGTGTATACAACAGTTTTTATTAACGACGAATATTTTTGAAGACGAATCAAATAGTATAGTCAAGTAATTATTATCTTCTGATTATTCAGCACAATACATTTTTATATACTATTTATACGTACAAATTAATAACACTGTAGTGACAGTGGCGAGAAATATTAAAACTTTTTATTAAAAGTTTTATCGTTTTTTTATTTTTAATATAAACTTTATAACTTACGTTCACGAAGTGTTTCACTGTCAATAGTATGACATCGTATGCCAAGGCGGTAATAAAATAGGGTGAGTCTCAATTAAAATGAAAAATATCTGTGCAGTAATTTAGTAATATACTTTCGTTTCCTTCTAAATCTTGAGGTAAAAGTTTAAAGTGTAATCAAGAAAAAACAGCTTCGGAGATACAGCATAATATTATTATATATGTCAAAAAAAAAAATTGGAAAAATGAAAGAAGAAAAATCGAAAACCGTATAAAGCGTGACGGATCTTTAAAAATTACCGATTGATCCGTACAGCGCGATGTCATGCGCAATACTGGCACCTGGATACAAGTCGCCGACGAGCTGAGAGGAAGGAGTATATTTCAATATACACCGATCCGATCTAAGTTGCGAATCACCTCACAAAGATGTGTGTGAAGAATAAATTTTCTTCGAGTTGTTTCAACAGTGTATTTATTTGTAAAAAAAAAAAACAGAATAAAAACGTTTATGGAAGAGTGGAAAGTACAAAAATTTGACTAATTTTAGAAAACTGGGACATTCATAAGCAAATACGACCGTTAAACGCAAATGTCTGTGTGACACAGTATCAGTAATACCTGTTCTTATAGTGTGTCTTTATAAAAGAGTATTATTATACGACCTTTGTACTAAAAATATATACTAGTTTCTCCTTGAAGAATTTTTTTCGTTTGTTAAAATTTTAGAGCGTTACTGATATCTTCTAGAAAGGAAGATGCTAACAACGATTTTTTAACATACTAAATAAAAGTTTTTTTTTTTAATGGAAGAAGGGGACTTTTTCGTAATTTTAAGTGTTTTTAAAAACGTTAAAAAATGTTTTTTTAAACGTTTTCCTGGTTGGAAAATATAGTTTTTTAAAATAATGATTGCTTAAGTAGAACAACAAATTATAAAATGATTATCTTTGTTTATCGTTTTAAAACTATTTAAGGTTACTTTAAAAAACGTTTTTTTCTCTCAGAAACCGATAATATGTCATAAACTAATTAAATTGTTGTTTTTGTAACGAAAATCTTATTAAACGAATAAACAATAATCATATGTTAATTAGACTTGAGTAACTACTCAAACATACATGTCAAAAACTGAGACGTTTCAATGACGCCTAAAAGACATATTTAACGTAGATTTTACGATGAATCGGTAATCCTAAGTCTTATCGATGAAATTGACCAATAACTTATACGATTAAGGCTGATTGACAACTTCACCGATTAAAACTAAGACTTCCGACTACCGACTGATTGTATAATCAGCATATTTAAAATTGCTGATCAAAAGAAAAAAAATTCCTATATTTTCACAGCAATTAGTTTTTTAGTAGAAATAATTAAATCCAAAACTAAATGTTAAATCATAATGGAATATATTATATAACTTATTTAATATTTCTGCTTTATATGGAATTACTTCACGAAGATTAAAAAAATATACATAATGAAACGTAAGCTATAAGTAATAGCTGCTATATATTTTTTATACAATTACTAAATTATCTATAGAGAAAATTATAATAAATAGTATCATAAATTTTGACACATTCATTTTAAAATGTACTTCTTGAATTATCAAATTATAATATATTATAATATATTCCATCATTTTCTCAAAATTTTTATTCTACTTGAGTGATAATATCTAATCTAATTGTAATAAGTTTAAGTTAATTTAATTTTAAGATTTATTAGTAAAAAATCGCGTAAAACTGATATATTTATAGCTAATGGATTTATATTTATTTATTATATTATTATTATTATTTGTGAGTGTATATACATCACAGTATTGTCTTTCTTGTGCAAAATCTATAAATCTTATTCAAAGTTAATGTTAATTAATAAATATTCTACTTTGCATCATACAATTTTTTGTAAAGTATTCTTTTCATCCTTGCTAAAATTGCACCATTTAGCATTACGTTATATCGCATAATGTTTTTCAGTCCGCAATCTTTAGACTGAATTAGACAGCATCGCGGGAAAATCTGACTCTTCTTTTCTTCTCCCCTCCATCTAATTTAATCTGATGAGAACGGATTCGTCTTCGTAGTTTTACATCGCTGGCAGATTACAAATTAAATCCTTGACACGCATCATTGTGCCGTTACTAAGCTACGGTAGATCCTCTGTAGTTCTTTGAGATGGTTATAAGCAGTGGCAGTGTCCGTCAGCGCGGAATTACTGATAAATGTAATGTATGAGTATTAACGGAATAACTACAGTTTTGATTGCCCAAACAATGTACACCGTTGCAAATCTACGAATAATTATTCTATTGTATGATGTGCGATAGATACATATACGCGATACCAAGTGTTGTGAATGATTTTGAATATATATATATATGAGTTTAAAGCAGATGCGCAATTGCCAATTTGTCACAATATTATAAAGTGAAATTTTAACAATTGATTTGATTTTTTACTTTAAAGATTATTTTATTGAAAACTAAATAACTGGAAAACTTTTTCTCCTATTCCCATTCTTCAGTATCATAAGGTTACAAAAATATTAATTGTTATGTGAGAGGAACGCATGATTACGTAAATACTAATATCTGCACTCTGCAGTAACTATGCCAAAGTAGGACATAGTGAAACTAGTTTCAAGTCTCTGGCATCAAGCTACTTCAGACGCCCCCTTTCTCCGGAAGCCCTTACTCAATGGAAATTCTCAATGACGCGTATTAAGATGCACGAATATATGCATAGAAGCGTACATATATCAATTTAAAATAATTTTCCATTGTACTTTTGACTATATTTACGTGATATATATATATATATATATATATATATATATATATATACACACTAGAAATATTTATATACTATTAAATGCTATTTAATGTATTAAGAAATAAAAAATTCTGGGATAAATAAAGCTATTGAAATAGTCATTACTTAAATTTAACACGTTTAATGATTGGTGACTTAAACAAACTTTCCGATGTTTAAAATAATGTCCTTCATTTGTTTTAATAACTAAAAACATAAACAATAATTTTACGTTATTACGTAACCTTAAGCAATTGTAAAATTTCCATGTAAACATGAAAATATATATTTTAGTTGATTTTCAAAAATCAATTTATTTTAATCAATATAAATATAATTTTTATTTAAAATCAATATATACAAATACTTTAAGTTCTTCAAATCACTTAAATTTAATAATTATCCAACCTAATAATTTTTGTATTATGTAAGATATATTTGGTCATTCAGATTCCGTCGAGTATCTTGAAGAAATATTCCACCTGGAAAGATTCAACATATGTAAATTAACAACATACTTAAATAAACAAGAAAAACAAATGACAAATGTGACTAAAGTTTTAAGTAAATATGAATACTAAAGTTGTTTTTACCTCTAATATTCCGTCTTCTGGCAAGTCGGAACAATGTATAGCGTTTTGTATTTTCGTTTTCCCATATTTAGCTCTAAGTGTATTCGGTTTGATTTGTCGCGCAATGTTCTGTATGAAATAAGTATGTCAATAACGTGGGATAAAGCAATTAAAATAGTTTATACTTACCGGATCCATTGGACCGCATAAATTCCTGAAATCAGCAACTATGTTAAGACTTTCATCTTTACAGCTCACTTCCAGAACAATGCATGGACCAGATTGTAATTCTGCTACCATTGCCTATAGAGTGTTCATAAAAATGTATCCACCTTCAGAAATAATTATTTGTAAAAAGAATATATAAAATAGATGAAAACATACAGTATACTCAGGAAGAACACCTTTATATATTTCTAAAAACTCCTCAGAATTAATTGGATTGACATAAAATTGTTGTGCAGCGATGATCATATAACCTGCTTTTTGAATATCATCGATAATTGCTCCTGCATTATAAATATAAGATTAAAAATATATCATATCAGATAGATAGATAAAGTTTCAAAGTTATATGACAAATTCCATTAGTTATTTTACAGAAATATATATGAATATTAATACATTACAATATATTATATATTAATATTACATGACATATTAATAAAGTATTCAATTTACCAACAAGTTTTTCCTGTACAGCATGTGGCTTGATAATACAACAGGTGCAGTTTTGTAGAGTTGCAGTGTTTTTAGGGCCTTTAGTTTTACTTTTTGAGTTAGGAAAGAAATATTGCAATTCCTAAAATTAATCAGACGTTACATTAAAATATGTTCTTATTGTAAATTTAATTATTGCATCTAAAACTTTATACCTGTATTACTGTTTCGGTATCTTTGGATCCATATACAGCATTATATATCTCGTCTTTTCCATAACAAGCTCTTAATGAAGATGCTGCCGTTAAACGAGCATCATTACTATCTTCTGGGCCAGCTAATTCGTGCCATCTTGTTATACCATTTCCTCCTAATAATTCTAAAGCAACGACAGGGCCAGAAATAAGATAATTTATAACAGACCTAAAAATAAACTTTCACAGCTACAGTATCCAAAATTTACTAAAGAAATCATAAATAGTTTATTTTTAGGACACTGTTAATTCAAAATTTGACTTACACCTTATCGAGTACATCTTTTTTTATAAGACAACTTTCTGCAATATCATCCGCAGTTAATTTTATCATTTTTAGATTCGTAATATGAAAATCATAATTTATAATCGTTTTTAATATTTCACCCATTTTGTCAATAACATCTGGTTTCAAAAGTACAAAAACTCTGGAAAAATAAAATTACATTTGAATTGAGTAAAAATATTTTAATATCAGAAAAATCATATATAAAATAGAAATTATTTGTTTCATTACTTTTGCAATTGCGTTTCTAATTTGGTTTTGGTGTAAGCATCTGCGTAACCCGTAATTTTGATGCATCTCGAAAATATTATTATTACAGAATTCACATAAAAATCTTTAGCCTTAATGCCTTTACATGTTGTCCTTCTTAGGAATGTCTTCTTTGTTTTTAAGTCAAACTAAAATATAATATATACAATATGACAACTTTATGAGGACATTTTAAAAGTAATTCAATTCTTTAAAATAAAATCATATGATTTTTCTTACGTAATACAATTTAAGTCATTTTGCATATCAAAATGTACATTAAAATTATTTAAAAAATCAATATTTTATTGAAACATTTTATATTATATTTTGGCATATTTTGACATAAAATATATATTTTGGAAAATATTAATTTTTAAACTATATTACTTTAATAATTTATTTTTGAATAATAAAATGATTCAATTGTTATAAAAAATATAATAATTATTTTAATAAAAATTATATAATTTGTAGAAAACAAAAAATTATATACTTTACATGATTTGATATATCTGTAAAACTTCATTTTTTTCTAACAAAAATATTTAACATGCTTAAGTCAAGTGAAATATCTTATATGTAATATTAATTTGCACTAACTTACACGTACCAATTCAACAGTATTATCAGATGGATAATAATACAGATAAAATTTCTTCAGCATACAAGCGACTTTGTCATACCACTCAGCTTCAAATACATATCTGTCACTGTGATCTGACATCTTGAAATTTACATATCCTCACGTAATGTATTAATTATCAATAATATGTGAAAAACTTCAAATCATGGAAATTAAACGAGTTATAAATTCAGCATTAGATTCAGAAAAATATCAAACTAATTGGAAATACAATATAATCTGTTTTGCACAAATAATTAGATTATATTTAAATATTTCAACAATATCATAGATAAAAGGTTCACAACGGAACAACAAAAAACAATTACTCTGACAAAAAATGCTCTGAAAATAGTGAAAAATAGTCACAACAGAGAAATAAGCTTGACAGCTGTTTTTTATGACGTAGTGACGTTGCTGGGCAACACGCCTCTATGTTCATAAAATGTAGACATTGAACCACGTAACCACGTCCATGAACTTTCCAGTGGGTAACATATCATATCCTTTTTTGGTTATGTTCCGTGCTACGTCGATAAAATGTTGATAATGCAGAATTTTAAAGCAACTTATCGGCAATATTAAAAGATTAAATTATTTTAATTATTTTAATTTGCGCAAAACTATATAATAGTTACAATTTAGATTCACAAATAATATTTTTCCTATGTGCTAAAGAGAAAAATAATTTAACTTTTGTTAATAAAATACTTTTATTATAAAATACAGAAAATTAGAATACCCTGGCTATGTAATATTATTCTCAGACACTCTTCTCTACTAGATAAATAAATAAAATAAATTAAATAAAAAGATTTAAGACAACGTTTAATAAAAAATATTAACGTATTTCTATATGCAATGCAATTATATGAAGCAATATAAAGGATCAAGTTATATTTGTATTATTTTCTCCTTTTGTAAAACAATAAATATTTTAATAAAATATATATGAATGCATCTGATATTGTACTTGTCACGTATAAATACAATTTGAATTTTACTATATCAATGTAGTGCTTGAAATTGATCAAACGAACCCTAGCAACTAAATCTTCAGCTCTAGGCCATGGTGGCTTTAGGCAACGCATTAATCGTTTGCACAAGACGCGTCTGACTGACGTGCATGCACGTACTCACGCACGCACGCATGCACTCACGCACGAACGAACGACCGACAAACGAACAAAACGCGGTTTTGACAGCTCCGGCTGCTGGTCTGGCCAACGCGGAGAAAACGCACCTACGTGATACGTAATCCCTGACGCGTGATCCACATTTTATAATTAAATCCGTGCCTCCCTCGTGTCAAATACTGGTGAATCGCAACCCTGTCTGGAACACTGGACGCATCCTAATTGGAATGTCCACATGAGGCTGCTGAAATTCTTGCTTCGTTATTTCCCACCAGGTAAATAGACAACGTACAGCCAACGTACATTAATGATGCTGTCTAACACGCTCTTGTTCTCTTAAATTAATGTTTAATACACTTGAGAAAAGTATTTATATAATATATTTGAATTTTAAAACCCAAACAGGTCTCGCTCTGGAGTACACGCAGGGCGGTGATATCAAGACAAAAATGATCGATTTATTGGACTTGTCAGCTGAGTAATTAATTAGATCAGCTTTTTTATTCGACGCCGTAGCAACATATCTGCTTAATTTTACATTTGCTTTTATTTTACTTCGAAGCTATGTGTAATGTACAAATATATGGAAAATAAAGTTAGTAATAATTGAATAATTTACAGAACGGACGTAAGAGCATTAGCGGAAAGCATAAAAGCGGCTGAACCCATAATAACCGAAAGTGTAATGGACCAGTTAGTCGAAACTTTGCAGAAGCTGCAGGCTAAAGTTTGCGATACAAATACCAAGCGCTATTACAAATACAAAACCTTACAGACGCATCTTTTGCCAGTCATTAATATAGCTCTCGATAAATTAGGTAAAAGGTACATTACTCTACATTAAAACTCTACATTAAAATTGTCGCTTAATTATTATTAAGACTTGTAAAATTTACAAAGTTTCGAAGTAGGTAAGTAAGTAGTGTTTTATGTTATTAAATATCATAATAATATAGCACATTAAAAAAAAAAGAAGGGAAGCTACAACTGAAATATATAGTAAGAACATCGAAGAAAAAATTAATCGCAGTGAATAATTCATCGAGTCATAGCATATAACCGACACGTCATTCGTTCGATCGACAGATGCTTGACGGCCAGCTATGACCGAACTTGTAAAGTTTGGGACATTGACAGTGGAAAGGAGCTTTTTACTCTCGAAGGCCATAAGAACGTGGTCTGCGCCGTCTCGTTCAACAATCCAACTTCGTGAGTTGATCACAATACTCAAAGTATAACCGCGACTATATCGACTCGGAATTGAAAGTAAGACACGGCGAGAATATAACTCGTACGACTTATAGCGGCCGAGATCTCCTTTGTAATGTATAACGCGTGTTATTCTTCACATACTTATGTACATATGTACGACGCAATAGCGACAGTTAGCGACCTATTCTGTTTTAGATTCTGGTTCCACAACATCAAATTTTGCAATTTTGTCAAAATAAGAGTGAATAAGAAGAATACTTTCTAAAATCTTTGGAGTCGAAATTCTAATTCTGAAGAGTCACAAAGAGTGATAATTATTATTGAGCCAGCCATTATCATTGATAAAAAATGGCTCAATAGTCAATTTGTAGAAGTGAGATTTCACTCTTTAGAATTACATTCCACTCTAAAAATTTTAGAGAGCATACCGTCTTTTTTTATATAAGCTGTCTTATTATAACTTTTGTATCTTACTCATTCTAACTTACTGAAGTTGATGAAAACCGACGGGCTAATCAAAAGTTTGTCATCTCGTGGCTAAATTCTGTTGTAAGATCTCTAGGCCTACGTATTTTTCACCGTTTTCAGAGACAAAATTGTGACCGGGTCCTTCGACAAAACGGCGAAGGTCTGGTGCTCGCGGACGGGTCACTGCCTCGCAACGATGTGGGGTCACGATGCGGAAGTGGTGGTGGCTAAATTCTCACCGACGCAATGCAAGCTCGCGACCGGTTCCATCGACGCGACGTCAAAAATATTCCATATAGAAACCGGTATTGAAAATATTGCAATGTTATCTCACATAATAAACGCGCGCTTCGATTCGGCCAGCTCGCGATCGATCGAACGCAACATACCTACTACTGTCGAATCCACTTTACGAGATGCTCGAACGCGGCGTGCAAACAATATGCGAAAATAATCAACGTATTCTTGCACAGTATTCTTATCACTCCAATTATTGTCGGCTTTACGTTTTATCGTAGTACCTGCTCGATGTTCTAATTAAACGAGCTTAAATAAAGTCACTAAGTTGTATCAAATTGTCACAACAAGTTATCTCTCAAAATGGCAATTTAGACAACTTAAAATATTAACGAAATAATCGCTCGAAATAACTCGCAATTAATACTGGAAATAACTTTATAATAATACGTTAAGTGCAACGGTTAAATACTTTCTAAACGCACACTTTAGTGATTTTGAAAAAGGCAAATTAGTTTAGGATTCCTGATTTTTTACTCGTGATTAATTTTTAAATTCGAAACTACTAAGAATTACCATCTCGAGATTTCTCCGAATAAAGCGCTATACGTCGTAACCTTTTTTATGTAAGTGATGTGATTTGGATTCGGCAGGTCAGGAATTGGGTACGTTACGGGGACACACGGAAGAAGTTATTGCGCTGCATTACAATAACGATGGAAATCAGATCATATCGGGTTCCTTCGACGGTACCGTGAACATCTGGGATATAAGAACATTTACGTGGGTTTCTATTTTCTTATCTTGTTTTAATATTTCTCTATATCTCTTAAGTATATATACGCGACTTATGGCAAATTCATTATATAACTCGAATGTGGAATAATTGCTTGATACTTCTGTTTAATGAATCTCTCTTTTTTTTTCTCTTAGCGTCGTAATATAAGTTTTACGTAAGATTGATTTTCTCGAAATAATTTAAAATTTTAATAAATATATTTTTGACTGAAAATTTCAGACGAACAAACGTGTTAATCGGCCATCGCAAGGAATTGTCCAACTGCCTCTATAATTTCGATTGTTCGTTGATTGCGTCGTCCTCGATAGATAAAACCGCGAAAGTGTGGGACGTAAGAATGAATTCTTGCTTGGCTACTTTGTTGGGACACGACGACGAAGTTCTGGATCTCGCTTTCGACAACAATGGCAAAAGACTGGCAACAGCCAGTAGCGATACTACCGCACAAGTTTGGGATATAAGCAGCAATTTCCAACAGTTGGCTCTCATGAAAGGCCATCGGGAAGAAGTGTCGAAAGGCAAATTTCTTATCGCAAATGGATGCTTTGCTTTCAATTTTTTCTATATCTATATTAAATATATTTAAATCCTAATGTACATCATCTATATTAAAATCCTAAATGTATTTCCAGTTTGCTTTAGTCCGAATGGTCATCAACTTCTAACTGCTTCCTTGGACAGAACGACGAGGCTATGGTCAGCAGACGATGGTTCCTGTTTTCAGCAATTGAAAGGGCACACCGATGACATTTTTGCTTGCGCATTTTCGTATACGGGAGATACCATAATTACCGCTAGCAAGGATAATACTTGCACGATTTGGAGATGACTCGACTGGTTCCAGGTGTTCGCCTAGCTTTTACTCATCGTCCTGTTTATCGTTTACGTTGTATATTTTTATGTTATCTAAATAACGGTGCGCGCATAGTCTATCGTTTTTCGATAAACAGACGAGCGATGATATCAAGTGTTTCCGCGTTCTACCAGACAGCGACATTGACATTTTGACAATGACACAGGAAGAGTGATTATTGGAAACTTTCCAACAAGCGATGTTGTGTAACACAGTAATCATTTAATCTTTGTTTAACATTGGCAAATAACAAGGATCTAATGATTTACTGTATTATACTGTGTCTCTTGTTTGAAAACATCCATAATAATAATAAAAAAAAGAATTTTTACAGCAAAACTGTTGCTGTTATAGAATATTTATGTGAAATTTTGCTAATTATAATTAATTATTGATAAAGAAATAAGTAAAACTTTTAGTAAAATAGAAAAATTTATCTGAGAGTGAATTCGTAGAAACATAAATT